TTGGCTGTGCAGAAGCTCTTTAGTTTAATCAGGTCCCAATAGTGTATTTTTGATGTTGCTTCAATTGCCCGTGGGGTCGGTCTCATAAAAAATTCACCCAGGCCGATTTCTTCAAGTGTTTTCCCTGCACTTTCTTCAAGTATTAAATTAAATTTCATCACAAGGAAATGACAAATGTTTGAGATCATAGGTATGCTAATTACCTTGATTTGATTGCTACACATTTTATGGTTTCATGTCTCCGGTACTTTCTTAATTATTACAAATGTTAGATGTAATGTCTCCTACTTCTTTTTTAGTATTCACTTAGTTATTATTGGGCCTTTATATTTCTAGGTAAATATTAAAATCATGTTATCATTTTCTTTGTAATGTCTTTGTACAATTACACTGTAATTGTAATTACAATGTCTTGTAATTTTTGTTAGAACTACAAAGAATATATAAATTATATTGAGTAGGTTTTATTCTTTCCAATCATCAACCTTACATATCATATAAATTGTTCACATGCCCTTCAATATTATTATTTTCTTTCTGAAATTATTTACTGGATGTGTGTGCATAAATTTAGGTGTATATGTATAAACTTCCATTTGGTTTTATGAATATAAACATATTCATAGACAGTCACTTTCAAAATTTAATCAGTTAAATGCAAAAAACCTAGGGTCCCCTTGTTCACATGGCCAGCAGAGGCTTGGTCTCACTGTGTTAATGATCCTTCTCATTAGCTTAATTCTGCTCACGCAAATTGAAACTATGGCTTGAATTGCTCCTGAAACACTTGGAATTGCCTGTGCTTGATCCGGTTGATCTTGAGTAGGTGTCAAATATATTCTCATTTAATTTAAACCTAAATCTGTGTTATCTCAAGAGAGTTGGGCACATGTCATAAGAGATGTCCTTGTCAGAGCATTTTCTAATTGGCACTTATGAAGGCATCTTCCCCTGCAGTTCTCTATCTTGGCAATAAATGGGTTCCAGTGTTAAAAAAAATAATAATAACTTCAAATAGAAAATAATCAAACTAGAAGGCTATTAATATCCCTTGCAGAAACAGTACAGGAAGCTTTTATGTTACTTTTGTCAAAACCTTAAAGAATTCACAATTCATACCTGTGTATTACATTTTTAACAAATGAGATTATAGAATAAAATCTAAGTAAGTAAGGAATAGTGATCACATAAATTCTAACTGTGTAACTGAGAGCATGCTAGTCAGTTGACTTCCCTGGACCTCAGCCTCCTCATCTGAACAACACAGTTTTAACAAATAGTGATCATAGACAATGACTCTGAGAATTTTAAAATTTATCATAACCAACATGTAGAATACTTCTTGCTGTATAGTAGCTTTTATTTAAGTGATGGCAGAAACTATTCATATATTTTTAATTTTGAATATTTTTATCATTGAAATATTTGACAAAAGAGCTCAAAAGTATGTAAGTTTAGAGACTAAGGTTACTGATAAATATTATTCAACATCATAAATAGAATACTGGAAAATAAAATATATCCATAGATACATAAAATCTACATTCTAAACAAATATTTGTAATTGTATACTTCCAAAAATATCTCAATATTAGAACCAATACTGTAACTTATTCATTTAAAATTATTGAGTATATATTGTTTGTCAGCTCCTATAAATGGGTTCTATAATGACAAAAGCAAACAATCAAGACATATTCCTGATGTTCAGAGGCTTACTGAAGGAGGGTCTTGAAAGTTTTCATCACAAGGAAATGACAAATGTTTGAGATCATAGGTATGCTAATTACCTTGATTTGATTGCTACACATTTTATTTATTGAGACATCAGTATGTACCTCATACATATGTACAAATATGTGTCAATTACAAAGAAAAAATGGGAAAAAAAACTATACATTGGGAGGGAGGGTTTAAGTACAGTATCATTGAGTTCAGAGATGTATCCAATGGTCAGCCATGGAGGTCTGAAGGACTTAGACAGGAGAAATGCCTTTCAGCTAATGTTTCAAGAGGATCATTGGATGTTTTAGGGAATGAGTCTAGAAGGAAAATAAGAAAGTCAAGAGAGGAGTTAGCAAGTGTTCATAGAATGCAACTAAGAGTTGATGGCCACCACACAGGAAGCTGTTGAAAAGTGTGAAAAGTGGGCAAATATGGGATCTACTCTAAATTCGCAAGCAACAGCAATTAAATAGTATGTGTTAGTGAAATAGAGAAGTTGATGATGATTCTAAATTGGAAAAGAAAACAACTATAATACCATACCAATTGAATTTTTGAAGAATATTTAAGAAATATATCAACACTCAAACAAAAATAAATAAAAATTCCTTTCTAGTTCAGGAAAGAGAAAAAAACAGCCCATAATATGATAAATTCATAGATATATTTAATGAAAAAAAAAAACACTCTTAATACTTCCCATCATTATTGATGGGATGTTGAATACTAAGTAACAAGTTTTTAACTCAACATATCCCTGGAAGTAGTAGTCATACAATCAAAGTAAATAGGACCACAGCCAAAAAGATATTAACTTTTGGAAAACAAGCCAACAATTAATTATATTTGCGTATGACACAATCAACCTGGAACATCATTAGAATTCATTGGAAAATCCTGATTTCTCAGAAAATATAATAGACAAATAATGTGGAATAATTAATTTCCCTAAAGAGTTAGAAATCCTGGGGTGGCGCCTGTGGCTCAAAGGTGTAGGGGACCGGCGGAGGTGGTGGGTTCAAACCCAGCCCTGGCCAAAAACTGCAAAAAAAACAAAAAAAAAAAAAAAAAAAAAAATAAAAAAAAAAAGAGTTAGAAATCCTAATCTTATAATACTACTAATGTGCCAAAATTGATATATTTCAAGAATATAAATTCATCAAGAAATTTGCAATGTGTACATGAAAGCAGTGTTTCCCTATCTTCACTTTTAAAATGGTAAGATAATACTCTGTTTCCCCAAAGCAAGAGCAACTGTAACAAAGATTTAAATCCATTCCCATGTAATCTGAAAATAGTGGCATTCTGATCCAAATGCCAGATTTGGATATTCTTTTTGAGACATTAACTGGAATATTAAATGAGGGTATAATGACCAACCTTGATGCATCTGTCACACAGCATCAAAACTTTTCAACACAAGGCAAATATTGTTCTGTGTATTTTCATAAATTGCTTCCCACCATACATTTTAAAACAAATCCCATACATGACTTTTTAGAATCCTTCAGTTTATATATATACCTGTAAAAATCTGGGGCTTTTAAACATAATTATTACACCTTTATAAAATCTAAAACAATTACTTTTCATTATTTAACATCATAAAATATTCTGTTTTTAAATTGTGAATGCTGTATTTGTATATTTAAAACTCAGGATCTAAAAGAAGTCTATTTAAGTATATCCTGGACCTTTTAAAATTTATGTATAGATAAATATTACATTATGAATTATTAATACTTAGTAATAATTATAACTACAATATATTATGTATATTATATTATCAAATTTAACCCAAACCTTTGATAGCAATTATTGTTATTATTGTAAATCTCTAATTGTAGAAGGCAAAATATTAACTTTCACATACTAAAGCTTGCTATAATGCTTTCATATTTTGTGAAATAGTTTATTATTTTATTAAATATGAAATATTTATTTAACTTGATAAATTAAAATTAACTTGAACATTTATCTCATTAAATTTTTTTAGTTTTTACTATTAATAAAATCATTTAAAAGAATTCTTAGTAGAAATCTTTATTTTCTTTTTGCAATAATTTTTGGGATAAATTGCTAGAAGAATTTATAAAATATAAACCTGTATAAGAAAAGACATAATTTTCAGGATATTGTTAAATATTGCATTCTTGCTTCTAGCAAAGAGGAATCTGATTCTTCTACAATCTATGTATATGTGTACATGAAAGTATGGTTATGTGTATTTTTCACTTGAGAAAACAAAGGTGTCAAACCATTCAATGAATAATGATGATTTCAAGTAGTTTATGGACTTTTAATAGGAGATCAATCATGGGATTTGAAATATAATTTTACAAAGTTTCATAAAAAGGCAGACATTATAGGAATACATGATTTTATCCCTACCACATAGTATTTTTTATTTTCACATATTAATCTGGAAATTCACAAAACTCTGAATTTTGGCTTTTAAATTTTCATATTGTCTTCAGATCTGTTCAGCTGGGTAATGACTTTTTCTCATGAAGGCCATGAGTAACACAATTTTACTATAGTATATATAATACATATATACATGTAGGTGTCTGTGTATAAATATATACATATATGTGTGTGTATGTATATGTGCATGTATTATATATATATGTATATATATATACATATATATACACACACACACATATAACAATTTACTTTACTAAACAAACATGTCAAAACAAACCAGACATAGAGGAATGGAAATTTTAAGTTCGTGGATTTTTAATAAATGTTTCTTAACAACATAATTTTATAAAATTTATAGAAATAAGAACATTACATAGAATAAGATTTCCTATATAATGGGTATATGGTTGTATTTTATAAAATATTCCTATAAATTCTTTCAATCTTAGTGGAAAGAAGTAGGAAAATTTTTGTCATCCTTACTGCCCATAAGTGTGTTCCCTGATTACACTTGGTACTACAGAAAGAATAATATATTTTTAGAAGTGTATGTTTACAAAATTAACATATGATGACTTTATTATTAATAAAGTTTTCAAAATAGTGACATTGTTCCACAAGGGGCAAGGTTCAAGCTTTGATTAGCTTTCTGTAAAAACTAATAACAGCCATCCTCTAGGTATTGCATATATACACATTCATTTCTTATGCAGACAGCTACTTTTGAATATGTTTTTCATTGCCCTCAGAACATCTTTATTCCGAAAACTGTAGATCACAGGGTTGAGTGAGGGAGTGAGGATTGTGTAGAATATTGCCAGGAACTTATCCTGGCCTGGAGTGTGGTATGATTTAGGTCTCATATATGTAAAAATAAAAGGTCCATAGTACATTATGACCACAATCATGTGGAAGGAACAAGTGGAAAATGACTTTTTCCGTGCCTCTGATGATTTCATTTGGAGGACAGTAAGGAGAATTTGGACATAAGAAGCAGAGATCATGGAGAAAGGGATGAGCAGGAAAATGATGCCACTTACATAAACTCCTCGTTCATAGCATGATGTGTCTACACAGGACAACTTTAACATGGCAGGAATTTCACAGAAAAAGTGGTCAATGGCTCTAGAACCACAGAAGGGAAAGTGGAGTACGTAAGCTGTGTGGACTATGGAGTTGAGGGTTCCAATAAGCCAGGCCCCTCCAGCCATGAGAACACTGACATAGTCGTCCACAAGGATTGGATAGCGCAGTGGGTGACAGATGGCTACATAGCGATCATAGGACATTGCAGCCAGGAGAAGGCACTCACCACCCAGGAGGATGAGAGACAAAAATATCTGGAATCCACAGCCTACAAATGAAATAGTTTGGCTGCCTGACAAAAAGTTAGTGAGCATTTTGGGAACAATGTTGGAAATATGTAAGATATCCATAAAGGAGAGATGACTGAGCAGGAAATACATTGGTGTATGGAGTCGAGAGTCCCTGTGGATGAGGAGGATCATGAGTGTGTTTTCTGTTACAGCCATAACAAAAATGATAAATATAAATGAGAAAAAGACCAGACTTGTTTTGGAAACAGAGAACAATCCCAGAAGAATGAAATCACTGCTGGAAGTTTGATTCTTATGTCCCATCATAAGAAAATTCTCCTTTTTTACCTAAAAAAGAAATAATAAATAAATATGTAGAAAAAGTAGTGTAAATCTCAATTTTATTTACATATATCTGTGTAATAAACAGAATTAGTAATGCATATTTTATAATTGACATCAAAAAATTCTAAGCCTCTTTTTTGCAGTGGTCACATTTTATAAGATTGACTTCTATTTTTTCAAAACAGAAAATGGTGTTCAGTAAACTGAGTGAGCCTTTGGCTCCACTTGAGTCCTATAATCTTAATGAGTTCCATATACTTTACTCAAGTCCAGCCTTCTCTCAAATGGCACATTCTCAGGAAGCCTATCCCTGCATGCTTTTTTTTAAAATCTGAATGTGCCCACTTGGGCTCCAACCTTCCTGGTCCTCCTTACTATTCCATTTTTATTTTTTTGCATGTCACTTTTCACCTTCTACTATATTAAATAATAAACACACCATAAGTTATATTTATTATTTTGTCATTATTCAACAGAATTTTAATTTCACAAGGGACATATTTGCTCTGTTCATTGGTATAAGCCAAATGATTAGGACAGTGCCTAGTACACAGAACAACCTCAGTGATGCTTGTTGAATACATGAACAAAATGAATGGAGCATATAACTTACTTTTCTCTCTAATGCATTGTTCAATTAGACTAATCTTATAGAAAGTGAAGTGTTTGATTCTAAGGCTTTCCAAAATAGTAAACAATAAAATATTGTAACAAAAACAAATATGTTTGTTATTCAAAACATTTGTATTTTAAATGTAAAAATAAAATCTTTATTTAAACAACATCAAGAGTGCAACTTTAAGAATATATTTTACTTTTGCCTGTTTTTTTAACTTGTAGAAATTAAATATTACAGGCTCGG